ATTCACCTGTGGATCAAATTCCTGGGTGTGCAGCTAACAAGTAGGCTGGCTTGGTCACTCAAACAGCGAGACACTGGTGAAGTGGGCACAGCAGCACCTACATTTTCTGCATCACATGAGAAAAGCACATCTTCCTTTTCCTATTCTTACCACTTTCTACAGAAGGATAGCATCACAGTCTGGTTTGGAAGCATCACTGCTTCAGACAGGAAGGCGGTGCAGAGAGTGGTGAGGATGGCTGAAAAGATTATTGACAGTTCCCTCCCTTCCATCCAGGACATAGCATATAAGCGTTGCTTGAGCAGGGTCCGCAGGATTGTCTGGGACACCACACATCCTCTTCAGGACCTGTTTTCCTTGTTACTTTCTGGGAGGAGGCTCCGTGGTATCTGAAGCAGAACATCCAGATTCAGTCACAGTTTTGTTCCATACAGTATTAATCTTGTGAACTCTAAAGCTCCCTCCTTCTATTATGCATTCAAGATGGACAGTGATTAATATTTATATGTTACTTATATGTAAGGGTATAGGTCTATACATATATTGTATATAGTATGTTTAAATATGTGTTATATATGTGTACCCTTTGAGAACAAGCAACTAAATTTCATTTTTAATGTGCGCCATTGTGCCCACAGTTAAAAATGACAATAAAGGTTATCTATCTATCTATCTATCTATCTATCTATCTATCTATCTATCTATCTATCTATCTATCTAACATATGGAATGGGTCAGGAATGATATTTCACCATTGTCTCTAAAAGAAAACATCAAAGAAGTACTCTTTCAGAGAATGACAGTGGCTTTCCTTCTTTTATTTGGGATCTGGTTGAGTAGATTTTAACTGGATAGGTGTTAGAATTGCATTAATCTATTCCCAATATCGATCTGATGGAGTGGAGGAAAAGGTTGGAAGAGCAGCTATACCAGCTATGAATGATAACTTGCTCTGTTCTCTATCAGGAATGAGAAAGGAGAATGTGACCTCATTGTTCACAATATCTTGTTGAAATGTTTCACAAATCTGGGGGTTGGAAGGTGTGTTAGGTGATGATTCTGTTATCCCTCTGGCCACAGGAGATAGAACAGTTTTTTTTTAAAGCATGGTCCTAGGACCCATGGGTTCTTCCAAAAGCCTTTTAGGAGTCTACAAAATCAAAATTATTTTCTACTCTATGTTGAAAAACAATTCAGTATTAAAATTCCATCAAACAATTATAAGAAATAGTACCATTTTAATTTTTAACAAAGAAAATATAAATAAATATAATTCATACAAATAAAGCTCTTTGGGGGCTTTCTATCATTTTTTAAAATGCGAAGGGCCTTAGAGAGAAAATATGCTTAAGAAACAAGAACTGTCCTAGAGAATCTTATAAAGTACATTTTGTTTCCTCTGATATTTAATACTATATGAAACTACTATGAAGGATCTTGCAGGTCTGGTGTTGATTATATATTATCATATTATGGTTAATTGTACAGTCAGCCAGATGTTTAGACTGGATTTGGCATTTTTATTCACCTTTCAAATTCCTCCTAAGGACCTGGGGCAAGCAAATGTTGTTATTTCATTATTTCATTTCACTCATTGCAAGATATAAGCTGTTCCAAATAAAGCTACTTTTTGCAATTGACTGGTGGTCATTTTGTCAATGCCAAGAGTACTCAAGTGGTACTCCAAATGTTTTGGAATTGTATCCACAGAGCTTATAACTCTCAGTTCTATTTTTATTTCTTTTGCCACAATCGTTCTATTTCTATTTGCAGGTCTTTGTATTTTGTGATTTTCTCCAATTCTTTTTTTTTTCTATTTTGCTGCTTCCAAGTATTGCAATATCCATTATCCAGATTTCACTGTCTTTCTTATCAGTAACTGTTAAGGCTTTGTTGTTTATTATGTGTGGATAATCTATAGTTAGATTCACAGACTAAGACTAATGGACTAATTCAAGTCCTAACCAGATTCTAAGAATTATTAAAGTAGTATTTAAGAATATAGGCAATTCCAGGCAGGATGTTTTTTAGTAAAAATAGGAAATTTGGATCTGATTAAAATCAATATTTCCAGATATTGAGAAAGTCCTTAATAACTAAAGTCAGTGCATTATTTTTATTCTTATATATCTATATAAATTCTGGACAATACCAATACTGCTTTTATAAGAACTGCATTTACTATTGGTCTCTTTCCAAATGTTATTAAAGGTGCACGGTATCACTATGTGTCCTAGGCCTCCATATCTTTGAGATGCCAATTCCAGGTAAATACTATTCGAGCAGAAGAGTACTATTCTTGCTTCCTGAGAGTGGTAGCATAAAGGTAAACATTCTTTCCAGGGGGGGGTCTTCTCTCTAGAACAGCTGGACCACGCCCACTCCCGCACCAGGGAAGAGAGACTCCTACTCTCATAATCTTTTAGTTTGTCAAGGCTTATTTTTTCTAGAATGATCTTGATTAATTAGTGGGGCTGTTGCTGGATTGCAGGATATAGTTGATCATTGTTTACTGCTTAATGTATTATTCTATAATAATAATAATAACAACAACAACAACAACAATAATAATAATAATAACGTGGCAGTGCCTGGAGACAGCAGAATAGACGAGAAAGAACTGGAGAAGATAACAAAATACAAAGACCTAAAAATAGAAATAGAAAGACTGTGGCAAAAGCAAGCAAGGGTAGTACCAATAGTCATAGGCGCCTGGGGTGCAATCCCAAAACAACTGGAGCACCACTTGAACACCATTGGCATTGATAAATTCACTATTAGTCAATTGCAAAAGGCGGCCTTACTAGGAACTGCTTCCATCCTGCGACGATATCTGTAATACCATCAAACATCCACATCTGCCTATCCCAGGTCCTGGGTAAGGACTCGATAGGTAGACAAAATGCCAAATCCAGTCTGAACATCTGGCTGACTGTGCGATGATCAATAACAACAACAATAATAATAACGTTGAAGGGACCTTGGAGGTCATCTAATCCAACCCCCTGCTCGAGCAGGAAACCCTATACCATTTTGGCAAATGGCTGTCCAGTCTCTTTTTAAAAACTTCCAGTGTTGGAGCATTCACCGTTTATGGAGGCAGGCTGTTCCACTGGTTAATTTTTCTAACTGTCAGGAAGTTTCTCCTTAATTCTAGGTTGCTTCTCTCCTTGATTAGTTTCCATCCGTTGCTTCTTGTCCTGCCTGCAGGTGCTTTGGAGAATAGCTTGACTCCCTCTTCTTTGTAGCAGCCCCTGAGATATTGGAACACTGCTATCATGTCCCTCCTCGTCCTTCTCTTCATTAAACTAGACATACCCAATTCCAGCAACCCTTCCTTATATGCTTTAGTCTCCAGTCCCCTAATCATCTTTGTTGCTCTTCTCTGTACTCTTTCTAGAGTCTCAATATCTTTTTTCTGTTTGTTTTTTTGTTATTATCTATATCTATGAGATGTATTTCACTTGAAGGCCACTGGATAAAAATAGTATAAACAAAGTTGCACGTCTCTGGGGGAAAGTTTAAAAAAAAAGTAAAGGCAGCAGTTGATTGAAAGCTCACTCCTTTTTGAAAATGCATTGTGTTGAGTCCTTCGCGAAATGGCAAGACACGAGAAGCAGTTGTAGTTCTCAGGAAACTTCTTTATTCATGTTTTCAGCTTACAGTTAGAAGACACCAACAACGCCCAAACTCCTGGCCTCTTATATAGGCCATCCCCGGGTAAATCTGTAACTTTTGGCGCGCCAGCACTTGCGCATGCGCACAAGTACTGGCGACAGCCTGTCTGGTCCCGGGCAGCCTGCACCTGCCGGAACCGTTTGCAATGCCCCGAGCCTGCTTGCACAGGCTCAGGACATAACACCCCTTCCCCCCGGGCTAAAACTATTCCTTATACCATAATAACACATAACTCATTTCTGTAGTGTAGTGCCATGCTCCCAATACCATCGGCCTCCGTGCCTCTATTGTTACTGGCTCTGTTTTGCCAATAGTGTTATGTAATCTTCTAAGTACTTAGGAGATTTCCTCGCTCTCTGTGACCTCCTAAGCTCTGGGTGCTCGCCACGTACCCCTTGACTGAGGGATGATGCGTGCCTGTCCCCCCTGTTTCGCCCTGGGGATTCCCAAGGACTGTGCTCCACTGCCTGGCCTGCTTGCTTGCCCACCGGGCTCGTCAGGCCAGGGCTTCTTCCAGTGTGTGACCTGGTTGTCCCGCCTAGCTGTAGGCTCTCTGGCCCTTCTAAGTGACTGTCACTGTTGGGCGTTTCTGTAGAACCTCCTAGGTCCATCCAAGACCTGTCAGGAGGCTGTCTGTCCCCTGAATCCCGTTCTGTGTTCGGGCTTGTGTGGGTTTCAGTATTGTCCCAAAACTCAGTTGTCCCCTGAGTGGAGTCAGAGGTATTGTAGTCGGGATTTGGTTCCTAGACCACCTCCCTATGTGTTTGCCCCCTTCTAGGGATAGGGTTGAAGTCAGCCAACTAGGAGGAGTGTGTGCCAGCTCTCTTGCAGGGAATGGATTGTTGGGATGCTCCCGGGTATTCTCTCTGACTGGAGCACTGAGTGATGCGGGTGAGAAGTGATCATGCCCCCAGGGTGACTCCCTGGCTGGAGTAGGCATTGATGCCTGGGTTCTAGTTGGGCTCCATGACTTCCTGTTGGGAGCAATTGCGGACTCTCGGGATGGGCTGATTGTGGCTTCCCCATTGATAATGGGCATCATTCCATGCCCCTCCCTTTGCCCAAAGGGCTCCCCCTCCCCCCTGGAAAAGACCCAGGAGTCTCAGCGGGAAGGTCCCATCTAGGGCGAAGTTGGTCAATGTGCCGACGCAGGACACGACCGTGTCCAGGGATACCTCGTAGGATAGAGGACCTGTGACCCTGGATATAGATGCGGGGACCCATGTATGACCAGGCCCGTAATTACGAGTCCAAACCGGGGCACCCACAAGTAGTTGTCTAGGTGCCCTGGGGTGTGAGACAGAAGGAGGCAGTCTGTCCGGATGCAACCGGTCAAGCTTGGTAGTCAGTTTGCGCCCCCAACGAAGTTCAGCTGGGCTTCTCCCTGTAGAAGTGGACGGTGTGGTGCGATAAGAAAGGAGGAAGTCAGCCAACCTGTGATGCCAGTCTCCGTAGGTGAGTTTCTTCAAGGCGTCCTTGGTGATGCGCACCATGCGTTCAGCCATACCGTTGGTGGACGGGTGGAAGGGTGCAGAGGTGGCATGACGAATCATGTTAGCCTGCAAGAAAGCTTGGAATTCGGAGGAAGTGAATTGAGGGCCGTTGTCAGACACAATGACGTCTGGGAGCCCGTGTGCAGCAAAAATCCCCCTCAGTACCTGAATAGTCTTTGCAGCGGTGGTGGATGAGACAGGTACAACCTCAAGCCATTTTGAATGGCTGTCAACGAGGACCAAGAAGAATTGACCCTGAAAGGGCCCAGCGTAGTCAATGTGCACCCTAGACCATGGAGACTGTGTTTCCTCCCATCTATGCACAGGAGCTTGGGGCATTTCAGGGCGCGAGCGTTGACAAAGGTGGCATGCATGCACCTTAGCTTCAATGTCTTTGTCTAGGCCAGGCCACCACAAGTGGCTGCGCGCAAGAGCCTTCATTCGTACAATGCCAGGATGACCCTCGTGGAGGGAACCTAAGACCCTAGTCCTCATTGAGGTGGGAATGACAACTCTGCTTCCCCAAAGCAGACAACCCTGAGAGGTGGACAACTCGTTCCTTTTAGACCAGAAACTCTGAAACTCAGGACTAGGACAGTGCTCAGGCCATCCAGACAAAACCCAAGAAAGGACACGTGAAAGTGTGTGATCTGTGCCCGATTCAGCGGCTACATCCCTGGCATTCAGGGGAGACTCGGGCAAGGCTTGGATAGAGAGAATATTGATAGCTGGCGCAGGGTCAGCTTCTATTACCGGCAGGGGTAATCTACTGAGGCCATCAGCATGGCCCATTTCCTTCCCAGGCTTGTGAAGTAGGGAAAAATCATATGCAGACAAAAAGATAGACCACCTGAGCATCCTGGGGGAGATGATTTGGGGGGTTTGTTTACGTGTGGTAAACAGTCCCAGCAAAGGCTTATGGTCAGTGAAGACCGTGAAATGCCTACCATATAAAAAATCATGGAATTTTTTAATTCCAGCAACAACAGCTAAGGCCTCCCTGTCTATTTGAGCATAGTTGCGCTCAGCTGAAGACAATGTCCTGGAGTAATATGCAACAGGAACCTGAGTTCCATCAGACCTGAGGTGGCTCATTACAGCTCCTACCCCGTAAGGGGAAGCATCACAAGTGATGCACACAGGAAAGGACTCATTGAAGTGTGCAAGTACACTGTTAGAAGTGAGCAAGGCTTTGACCTCATTGAAACTTGCCTCATGTGTTTTGACCACTGCCACACTGCCTGTTTATCTAATAGCCTGTGAAGAGGCTCAGCTACACTAGCCTTATGTGTGAGAAAGGAATTGTAGAAATTCAGAAGGCCCAGGAAAGCCTGTAGTTCGGCCTTAGACTTTGGCCTAGGGGCTTGCATAATGGCTTTTAGTTTGGATTCAGCAGGGTGAATCCCCGCAGCATCAATTTTGAACCCCAGAAACCCTGTGGAAGGCACCCCAATTTTACATTTGTCCTTCTTGAGTTTGAGTCCCGTTTTCCTGAACCTTAACAGGACAGCCCTTAACCTTTCAGCTAGAATGTGTGTGGCGTCTCCTGCAATTAAGACATCATCAAAATAGGGGCAAACCCCTGGTATACCCCGTAGTGTGTTTTCCATTATGCTTTGGAAAATCCCAGGAGCGACATTTACTCCAAATTGAAGTCTCTTTACCTTGAAAGCTCCTCTGTGGGTCACAATAGTCTGAGCTATAGCAGCATCATCATCAACAGGCAGCTGTTGATATGCTTGAGCTAGGTCAAGCTTTGCAAAAACACGCCCCCCCCCCCTTGAGGGAGGCCAGAATATGACTGACCACAGGAACAGGATAGGCATGTTGCTGCAATGTCTTATTCAGAGTGCATTTGTAATCAGCACAGATGCAAATGTCCCCATTTGCTTTGAGCGGCGTGACAATGGGGGTTTCCCAGGGACTGGAGTCAACAGGTTCCAGAATTCCTTGTTGGATCAGTTTATCCAACTCAGTGTCAATTTTAGTCTTTAAAGTAAAAGGGACCCTTCTTGCTTTAATTCTAATGGGAGTGACAGTGGGGTCTAGCTTTAAGGACACAGGAGGTCCTTTGAACGTGCCCAGCTGGGGGCTGAAAACATCTGCAAATTCTTTGCAGACTTCCTGTAGGTCGAGTGTTTGTAGGCTGTTGAGCCCTGTGACGTGTATTCCCAAGGCCTCAAACCAATCGAGTCCTATGAGACTCGTTCGTTCACCTCCTACTACTAATATGTCTAGTGGACCTTCAAAATCTTTATACTGTACGTTAAGGGTGGCCTCCCCCTTAACACACACTCTGGAGTTTTGAAAGTCTGTTAACACAATATCAGAAGGCCTCAGCTTGGCCTGAGTTCCACTACCAGAACAAATCTTCCTAAACGTTTGCATGGAAATGATTGAAAGGGCAGACCCCGTATCCAGTTCCATAGCTAATGGAACCCCTTGTAGCTTCATCTTAAGTGACAGCTTTTTCTTAATTGGCTTGTGTGTGCCTGTCCTATAGATGCTTCTTCGCGAAGCGCAAAACCCCACCCTATTCTGGCTGGGGACCCTGGTACCTTTCAGGCGCAATTCTTCCTGAGGTTGTACCTTCTGACGGCCCAGGCACACAGCTGCAATGTGTCCTTGTTTTCCGCACGCCCGGCAGATAGCGGAGCGGAACTTGCAGCCGGTTCTCTTGTGGCGACCTCCACAACCGATGCACTTGGGGAGAGCTGAAGAGCTTCCTCTTGGTTTTCCTTCTTTTGTGGGGTAGAGACGGTCCACTTCCTCGTCCGGATCCTCCTCGGAGTTTCTTTGGACTTCTTCCTGGTGCACGGATGCAGCATCTGGACTGTTTCTGATCGGCCGCATGTTCTTGATGGCACCGCCCGCTGCTTCTTCTGCGGTGACCTCTCTCAAGGCATCTTGGAAAGACAAGTCCTCCTTGGCGAAAAGTCTCTGTTGCAACTCTCGATGCCTTAGCCCGCATACAAACCAGTCCCTCAGTCATTCTTCGAGGTCCTTGAACTCGCAATGTTTGGCGGTTTTCCTCAGTGCGGCGATGTACTCCTTGGCCGATTCTCCGGGTCGTTGATCCCTCTGCTCGAAGGTGTGGCGCCACGCAATGACGGACATCTTAGGCTGGAAGTGCTCCTTCAGTAGCTTTTTTAGATCTGCGTAGCTGACAGAGTCTAAAGGAACAGGTGCTGCAAGGTTCTCAGCGATTTCGAATGCGTCTTGACCGCAAACGCACAGCAGGGTGGCAGCCTTCAAACTTTCTTCCCTCACTTGGTTCACTTTGAGGTAGTTTTCCACCCTGGCTGCGTAGGACTCCCTGGATGTGAGACATCGAATTCCGAAAGCCTTCCAATCTTTGCCATTTTTGTATCAGGAAGGGTCTATCAGCCAGCCTACCCCCGAATGCACGCTGGATTGGCGGGTAGCTGCCGAGTCAACGCCGTTCCTGCCACTCAGGACTCACTCGGGTAAGCTTACACCTTTTTGTTGATGTAAGGCAATCCCACCTTCGTCGCCAGTGTTGAGTCCTTCGCGAAATGGCAAGACACGAGAAGCAGTTGTAGTTCTCAGGAAACTTCTTTATTCATGTTTTAAGCTTACAGTTAGAAGACACCAACAACGCCCAAACTCCTGGCCTCTTATATAGGCCATCCCCGGGTAAATCTGTAACTTTTGGCGCGCCAGCACTTGCGCATGCACACAAATACTGGCAACAGCCTGTCTGGTCCCGGGCAGCCTGCACCTGCCGGAACCGTTTGCAATGCCCCGAGCCTGCTTGCACAGGCTCAGGACATAACACATTGCATGCGTGACAGAAATAAAAAAGGGACAGAGTTTCAATCAAATGGGTACAATCACTATATTGACTTTCTTGATCCCTTGGATACCCTGTGAAATATCCCTTTGAAGCCGTTTTGAGAGGCATCCATTACCTCTAAAGGCAAAGCAGTTGTGCCTCGTTTTGGCAGCATCCTCAAGCAGCCCAATAGCTAGAGGAGATTTTTGCACAGAAACTTTTCTCAGCATTTAAAATCACTCACTGTAAGTACTGGAAAATGCCTCTGCACAGAAGAAAAGACTCCTTTAACTAATGGAATTGCCAGGTGAGGTTTCATGGTGGTGCCAAATGCATCAATGAGATAAATACAGTTCGCACCACTTGAGCAGAATAGGTAGCTAATTTTTTGTTGCCCAGGCCCAGAACAGACTTCCGGAAGTGGCATCCACCCAGAGAACTGGTTGTTCACATATTTGAATCCTACCACTGGATAAATAGTGACTCTCTTGCATACTGAAGCCCATGGGTTCCTTGGGGATTGAAATTCCCCAAGTCCAGTGGTGGGGTGGAATTCCCCAAGTCCACAATGGACTGCTCTTGGGAGCACTGTCCATTGAGCCCTAGGCCAAGCAGCTGGAGTAGCCTGAGTGCCAGAGGCCAGAGCTGCCTCCATGGCAAACCCCCTTTCTGCGGACTCCCTGTTTGGAGCAATAGCTGAAGCCTGGGGATGTTGGAGAGACCGTGGTCCCCAATCATAATTGTAGGTCCTCCTCTCCCCCAAGAGCCAAGCCAGGAGCAGAAGAGTTGCTGGGAAGCCTCCAGTGCAGTTGGTCAATGTGACGTCAGATCACACGACCATCGTCCAAGGCCACTTTGTATGACAGCGGCCCAGAGACATTGCATACCACTGCTGTGATCCAGAGATGTCCTGGTCCATAGTTTCTTGCCAAGACCGGATCGCCCACTTGTAGTCTCCTAGGTGCCCACGGCTGTGACACCTGTGAAGCCACCTGGTCTGGGTGCAATCTGTCCAGTTTCGTGATGAGGCGGCGACCCCAGCGGAGTTCAGCTGGGCTCTTTCCAGCAGCTGTGCAAGGGGTGGTGCAGTGGCACAGAAGAAAGTCCGCTAACCTGTGATGCCAGGTCCCATGAGTGATCCTCTTTAAGGCATCCTTGGTTGTGCACATGATTCGTTCAGCCTGTCCGTTGGAAGCTGGATGGAATGGTGCAGATGTGGCATGCCGGATCATGTTGGCCTGGAGGAATGCCTTGAACTCAAACAACGTGAATTGGGGCCCGTTGTCGGAGAGAAGGACATCTGGAAGTCCATGTGCGATGAAGATCCCTCTCAGCACCTGGATGGTCCTAGCAGTAGTAGTGGAGGAGACAGGCATGACCTCTAGCCACTTGGAATGGCTGTCCATGAGAATTAAGAAGAATTGCCCCTGAAAGTGCGCAGCGTAGTCGATATGGACCCTCGACCATGGGGTACGAGTCTCCTCCTACCTATGAACTGGGGCCTGGGGCATCTCCAGCCTTGACTGTTGACAAACAGTGCACCCTTGGACCTGGGCCTCAACGTCTTTGCCGAGCCCAGGCCACCAAAGATGGCTGTGTGCTAACGCCTTCATCCAGACTATTCCCGGATGTCCCTCATGCAGAGACTGCAGGACTCTAGTCCTCAGTGTGGTTGGGATTACTATTCAGCTACCCCATAGGACACACCCCTTGAAGGTGGAAATCTCATGCTTCCTCTGCCAGAAGCTCTGGAATTCTGAGCCTGGACATATGTCAGGCCATCCAGACAACGCCCGGGTCAGCATGTGTGTTAGCGTGTGATCGGTGGCTGTTTCTGCAGCCACATCCCTAGCATGAGAGGAGATTCAGGCAAGTCCTGAATAGACAGGATGCGGTTGGCAGGTGCTGGATCTGCCTCTATCTGCTGTAATGGCAACCTGCTGAGACCATCTGCATGACCCATTTCTTTGCCTGGCTTGTGAACCAGTGTATGGTCATATGCAGACAGGAAGATAGACCACCTCAGCATTTGTGGAGATATTATGTGTGGGGTTTGTTTGTTTGTTATGAACAACCCCAGCAGTGGCTTATGATCTGTAAAGACCGTGAAGTGGTGGCCGTATACGAAGTCATGGAACTTCTTTATGCCAGCCACTATGGCTAAGGCTTCCCTATCTATCTGTGCATAATTGCGTTCAGCTGATGATAGGGTTTTAGAGTAGTATGCTATTGAGACTTGCGTTCCATCAGCCTTCAAGTGACTTAACACAGCCCCAATCCCATAAAGGGGTGCATCACAGGCGATGCACACTGGCAAGTTCTCACTGAAGTGCGCGAGGACCGCATTTGAAGAGAGCAAGGCCTTGACCTCTTTGAAGCTCTTTTCATGTGCTTGTGTCCACTGCCAAGGGGCCTGTTTGTCCAAGAGCCGGTGTAACGGCTCAGCCATTGCAGCCTTGTGAGGAAGGAATGAGTGGTAAAAATTTAGCAGTCCCAGAAAGGCCTGAAGTTCACCCTTGGATTTGGGGCTTGGGGCCTACTGAATTGCTTGCAGCTTGGATTCAGCAGGGTGGATGCCCTGAGCATCAATGAGGAATCCTAAAAACTCCATGGAGGTAACCCCGATCTTGCACTATGTCTTGCTTAAGCTTCAGCCCCGCGTGGCAGAAACGTAGCAAAACGGCTCTCAGCCTTTTGGCTAAATTGTCAGCTGAGTCCCCAGCGATGAGGATATTGTCAAAGTATGGGCAAATGCCAGGGATATTTCAGAGCGTTCGCTCCATTACACTCTGGAAGATGCCGGGGACCACGTTTACTCCAAATTGCAATCTTTTTACCTTGAATGCTCCCCTGTGAGTCACTATCGTTTGGGCCTCGGCCATTTCCTCATCAACTGGCAATTGTTGATAGGCCTGAGCCAGGTCAAGCTTAGCAAAGATCTGGCCCCCCTTGAGGGAGGCTAGAATGTGACTAGCCACTGGTACTGGGTACGAATGCTGCTGCAGCGCTTTGTTAAGCGTGCACTTGTAGTCTGCACAGATTCGGACTTCACCATTGGCCTTCAGTGGTGTAACTATGGGTGTTTCCCATGGACTACTGTCCACAGGCTCTAAGATACCCTGCTGAATCAGTTTATCCAGCTCTGCATCTATTTTTCCCTTTAAGGCAAAGGGCACCCTGTGTGGCTTGATTCTAATAGGGGCTATGGCTGGGTCTAGCCTCAGAGAAATAGGAGGGCCTTTGTAGGAGCCAAGTTCTGGACTAAACACATCTGCAAACTCCTTGCAGACCCCAGACAGTCCTGTTGTTTGCACGCTGTGTATTCCAGTCACCTGAATTCCCAGGGCCTCAAACCAGTCAAGTCCAATGAAACTTGTACAGTCTCCCTCAACCACAACTACATCCAGTAGCCCCTCAAAATTCCTATGCTGCACCTTGAGTGTGGCCTCATTCCTCATGTTGACTCTGGAATTTTGGAAATCTGTGAGGATGAGGTTTGATGGCCTGAGTTTCACCCGTAGGCCGCTTCTGCTGCAGACCTTGTTAAAGGTGTCTAGGGAGATGATCGATAGAGCAGACCCAGTGTCCAGTTCCATCGACAAGGGGACCCCTTGCAACTTCACGTCAATGTGAAGCTTCTTCCTAA